GCCTCCCCAGGGTAGAGCAGAGGGGCAGGAGAACCTCCCTCGCCCTGCTGCCCACACTCCTCCTCATGCACCCCAGGATCCCCTTGCCCTTCTGGGCACCCAGGGCACGCTGCTGGCTCAGGGTCACCTTGTCACCCACCAGCACACCCAGGTCCCTCTCCAGCAGGCCCGCCCCAAGCCCGAAGGGCACGCGCAGCTCACATGAAATCCCTTGGACAAAGGACACCCTGTAGATCAAATAACAGCCAGCGCGGCTCACAAAGGGGCACTGAGCGCCGCGACCGGCTGTCTGACGGGCTGCTCTTCTCCAAGAAACCCGAGAACAACCGAGACACGCTTCATGTGAGGAAGAACGGGTTCTGCCAAGACTCCTTGGCAGGCTGTGAGTGGCTGGGTCAAGCGAGCGGTGTCCGGGCACCCCTGCTACGGCTGGGAAGTCACCTACCACCAAACACTCCCGTTATTAGCTGAGTCTCAGCACAACGAGCACACTCCTGGGAGTTTAAGTTGGGCAGAGAGGAACCTGAGGAGGTTGCCTTTGCGACTGCTCAGTGGCTCAGCACAAATCGTGCTCTGGTCACTGCACGTCCCACCGGGCACCTACGGCCGCCAGATGGTTCAGAATCCGTGAATGGTTTGGGTGGGAAGGGACCTCTGAAGGTCACCTAGTTCAATACCTCTGCCACGAGCGGGGACATCTTCACCCAGATCAGGTTGCTCAGAGCCCCATCCAACCTGGCCTGGAATGCTCCCAGGGATAGGGCATCGACCACCTCTCTGGGCAACCTCTGTCAGGGTCTCACCACCCTCAGCATAGACAATTTCTTCCTTATATCCAGTCTCAATCTCCCCTCTTTCAGTTTAAAACCATTACCCCTTGTCCTTTCACTACAGGTCCTCCTAAAAAACCTGCACCCATCTTTTTTCTGAGCCCCCTTTAAGTATTCAAAGGCCGCCATAAGACCGAGCACATCTCCTGAGCTTCTGAACGCTGCCAAACCCAACCCTCCCAATCGCAAACTCTCTTGCCCAGCCATGCAGCATTCCTTCACAAGCTTTTTTATTACCTAGTTATTATTTCTTCAAACTTTCAACCCAACTTTGTCATCAAGGTAGAAATCTTGAGGGTCATGCAAATGAAGATTTCCTTTTCCCTCCCCCTCATCTCTTCTCTTTCTCCACTACAACCCAAAACAAAAAATGCTCAAAGACCATCCATTCACCCCGACCCTGGCTCACTGCAGGGACCAGCCCGTCCCCGAGCTGCCCCTTGGCAGAGGTGTCCCCGTTCTGCACGTCTATTCAAAGGGAGGTGCCCAGTTTCAGATGGGAAACCTGGCCCTTTTATGGGAGTTCATCAAAGGTTGGCTGCCAGATTCCATAACCAAATTGAAATAACTCAGAAGTCCTTCCCAGGAATGACAATCTTAGAAGATTGTAGTAATTTCTTGCACAAACCAGTCATGTTGAATAAGAGATTGCTATTTTTTTAGAAAATAAGGTCATTCAAAGCCACCAATTTTACTCACTGGACTTTAGCCAAAGAAATCTACATAAATATATGTGATTATAAAAAATTAATTTGCAAGTTATGGGTTACCCCTCTAAAAAAAAAAGCCCAGAGGGCCAAATATAAAGGTGGTGTATGAAGGCAGGGCAAGTGCACCCTGGCTGGGCGTGAAAAGAAAAAATGCAGAAGAGGCCTTCAGGGACACAGGGATGAAAGGGAAGCCTTGCACTCAAAACCAGCTTAGGAAAATCTATATTACACCTGAAATATTACCAATAATTTCTTGCAATGCTTGCTTGTTCACAGCAATCGATCGAACTAGCGTACGACCGAGCAGAGAATAAGATTTGTGATGCTGGGAAAGCGTCAGGCTCTCCAGTTCTGCTGCTGTTCGGTCCTCAACTGCTGCGTGAAGGCAGCTCTCGGCGGCCTTCGGGGTGGTGGCAGCTGCAGGATGAGATGCTGAAGATAGGCAGCAGTGCTCAGGGACCTCTTAACATGAAAATAATAATCAAAGCGACTATGTACAGACACGACTGCAAACTGTTCTTGCCCGTCAGTTGGTAGGGGATGGGAAGAGCACGGAGCCGAGGGGGTGAGGTTGGTCCTGTTTGATGGGGCTGAACATCATCATAAAAAAAAGTCATTCCCCCATTCTAGGACCTGGAAGATGAAAATCTGTTTACAAAAGGGGAGACCACTTCAGCAACCATAAGCTGCTTTTCTGTGACTTGACAACAGAAGTAAAAGGAATTATTTTACAGAGGGACATTAACACCCGTAAATTAAAGAGCACCGAACTCTGGTGTGGGTGTCCTCCTTCAGAAACAAACTGGCTTTCATTTGCTGGTGTTTCAAGGAGGCTCACGCTCCACTTAAACCACAACTTCACATCCAGCTGACAGCACCTGCATGAGGGTTTAACACCCTTTAATTTACATCCATTAACCTTACCACTTCCATTAATTGCCTTTTGCTCCCTAAGTGGGCAACACCCTTGGTCCCTTCAAAAAAGGAGCAAATCAAGTCACAACCCTGACCAGTGGGATTGTCCCCAGCCCCAGGGCTCTGGGGTTACGCTGATGCCCTGACACTGTATCTCAAAGCGTTCAGCACCATCCATCAGACCCCAAACATCCACAACCCCACGGTGCCCTCAGTTTGCTGCTGGGAAGCCGGAGCAGCTCTGGATGCCAAAAGCAAGTCAACCCCTCCAGTCATGGTTACGTTCTGCTATGTTGTTTCCATTTGGCCTTGCCTCCGTTAGGATGCTCGGTCTTATTTGTCTCTTCAGCTGTGCTAGTGGTGTTGCTCTCTTACAACCCTGCTGTTTTTTTTTTTTTTTTTTTTTTATTTTCTAACTGTCTCCCCTG